TGAGGTTTTAAAAAAATGAGTGTAGTATTTGGAAAGGCGAGATAAAAAATAAAATAATTACTGGCTTTGCCTGTTAGTTAAGAACAAAGTCAGTCGCATGTCTCAAATGAATGATTTGGACTGGAGCTCTTGCCTGTAAGATGTTTTTACTTCCTCACATTCAAATACTAATTTTATTCACTAGGTGCTTCAAACTAACTTTCCTTAGAGAGAAAATGAAGTTGTTTTAATGTATCTTAATTGGTCATACTGATGGAACTGTACACTGAGCAAACAGCCAACAATTTTATGTTGGTTTTACTGTTTCCAAATGTACTTTCTGTTGCGTAATCACAAATTAGCTCATTAAGCTGTAAAAAATTCAAGGTCTTTGCATCTTTTAAGTGTCCTTATTGCTTTTTTCTGCACTGCTCTCCTCTGCTGTGTTTCTATATTTGGTCACAGTGTCATTGCATTGGTAGATATAACAGGATGATGTGTAATTTGCAGGATTAGACTTTGTTATGTAAGATGTAAGACCAAAACAGTCTGCTCAGTACATCTACACTTACATAAATAACACGCTGTATGCCAAATTGACCAATCAGAATCAAGTGTCCATGACTTATAACAGTCAACTGGAAACATCTCCATATCTGGCATGAAAAGAGTTCTGGGAGGTTTATAGCAAATAAAAAAAGTCTTTCCGTTTGTTGTTTCTTTATCTTTGTGGATGGCAGACAGGTTTTCTCAGATCGCATAAATCCTCAGAGACCAAGACATGTTGTCTGGACTGTTTTTCAACTTCCCTCTCTCCAAAGAGGTTGCATTTCTAAAAGCGCTCCTGTTTTAAATGTATTCAAAGTCAATGGTACTAAAAAAAAAACACATCATATTTATACAAAAGGAGTCTGCTGAGGTTGTTTAAAAAGCAGTTTGTCTCTTTGTTATTCAGAAGGAGCACAGCGGAAAAAGAAATAATTCCATCACCCCGGGGTGAAAGAGATCAAGAAAAATGCCCCTGAGAGGTCACCAGTCCATGGGCTGACAGAAGATCACTTTTTATAAATTCAAATCCAATATCTGTCAACTTGAGGGGGTTTGAGCATGGAAGAATTTATTTAGCCCTCCGTCTTGCTGTTGTATTTCTCAGGGAAAAAAACAAAAACATCATCTTGAAGAACTCAATAATCAATAACAGCATCAGATAAGTGATAAATGTTACAGGATGATAGACTGGACTGTAAATCAGCCTCCGTCCACTGAAGTCTATTTTTAAATGTGTGAAGAATCCGCTGTGTCTAAAGAGATTTGAAGCAGTCATGATTTCTTTTTATCATCGTCATGAAAAGAATACTTGTCAGACAGAGACGCTGAAATTATGCAGGGTTAGAGTAGAGCCACTTGAGTTTGTGGAGCACTGAACTCTTCTTACCATAAGGGCCTCATTTTTAAAAGCCACTCCAGACCTGCGCACCATCGCTGAGCTTGTTTAACATGGGTGAGAGTGTGTGTTTATGTGTTCCCAAAATATGATCCACTCGGAATTAAACTTACAGTAGTGCCTTTGCATCCATTACCATATTCATATTGCAATGCCCTTATTCCTGATATCGCTATAAAAGCTATCAGTTTGGATCTTTATGTCTCCATCTGCATCGTCGTCCTCTGTAAATACAAGGCATTCGTTAAGTGAATGGGGGTCATTTTTAAAATCCCCCTGGGGGCTTAATAAAGTTTATTTTAGATTTTGTAAGGGCCAGAGCTGTCTGAATTTCTCATCATCCTAAAACAAAGAAAACTGCATTAATATGTCCTCCAGGAAAGACTACATTAAAGCCGTAATCAGAGTTTCGAGCACTTTGTCCTCTTGAGGATAGATGTAGTTAAAGTAGATCATTTGCCAGGAAATTCTCTTCGTAAACTAAAGTTTCTCACATGGGTTCAGTCAAGTTCAGCGTTCGTAGACTTGCTGCAAAGTGTTTTTTGAAACTCAATACCACTCTCATTCCTGCCTGTTCAATATAAAGCTGACAATGAGTGATTAGTTTAACATAAACTCTGAAATAACTTGTCAAGAGGCAGTTCACTGAAGCTCACTTAATCACAAATTAATCTGCTTTGTTCAAGGTGAAAAGATTGAAGTTATGACAGCAACAAGACTCTCTGGTGTCTCAGCATTATTCTGACATTGACAGAAAAAATGTCCATTTACTGTTTATTTGGATACTGTTCTAGGATTTTTGAGCCACTACCACGAGTAAATATTCAAATTTTTCTTTTTTGAGGAAGGATACCAGTCTGATACATGGTCAAGAGTCTTTACATTACCTTTGCATCTTTACGTCTTTACATTACCCCCAAAAAAAGCCAACAGGCAACCTTCAGATGGCCCCAACCTGACCAGCTCACACGGATTCTAGATATTTAGAGATAATTTAACAGCACACACAGCGTGCATAAAAGAGTCTTACTCTTACTCTGTCCCCATCTTTGTAGAGAGTTGCTACAACCTTTTGAGTGGAGGTTCAGGGAAATAGTCATGGTCAAACATTCAGACAATGCTCGGTATCCTATCCTTTAAAAATATTGTCTACACTCAGGTCAAAAAAAATAAAAATAACAGTGAACAATTTAACCCTGCCTACACCAAAATGATTTATTATTTTCTTACTGCCAACTCCAAACACATGTGCGTTACAGTAATTAAAGATCATAACATTTAGAGGTATCACTTTAAAAACCTGCCAACTTTCCCAAAGGAGTACTTCAGAGGGAGGCCAGAGCACAAAGTTTGTCAGCGGCTTAGTCCTGGTTTGATGCTGGACAGTCCACCAGAGAGCCTCAGCACCTCTCCTGTGTGTGTCACATGTCCTGGCAAAGAAGCAGCATTCATTTACAGTAAGAGACCGCACACTGACCACGGTGGATGAAGGGAGTCTATGCATACTGATAACTGGTTTAATAATGTTCATGCACTTTAATGTGCTCCTGCCAGATAGAAGAGTTTTATTCAAAAAAATGATATTTTTTCTATTTAACTACATTCACTTGCATGTATTTAAAGTTTGCCTTTAGCAAAAGCGGTAAAATATACTTTGAATGCAACTGATAATGTGCAGCTGGGTTAATTGTCCTGGTCTTCCTATCAGGCGAATTAAAAATGTAAATGAATATCCCTGCTGCACATGGTGTTTTATTTTGAAATCGACTTGATGCTTCACATTGCTCTTGTTTATGACTGCCTATCTGTTGGTCTGTCTTCTTTGTTCAGCTTTGAGCTCTGTTGAAAATAGACTCATTGTGGATCGAACACAAAGCAGAACTGAGAGGAGCGCTCTTTGGTGGTTGAATTGAACAAAAGCCAGGCTAGCTGTAGTCCACTTACCAGTCTTGGTACTCACTGAAGCCCGCTGCCTCACATGGGATATCAACATTCTTATTTTCTGCTCTGTCACACCAGAACCTCTGCAAACAGGGACTCAAAGGCATGCAACCTGCAACATATGCAAGTTTAAAGAAGAATGAGGACAATAAAATAAGCAGACAGTCTGTACGTTTATGTGCACTTAAAAAATGGATTTATTGGAATAGTCAGATTCAAACTGGCCTTTAAAATGAATGTGAACATTTCAGTCCCACAGAAATCGAACTGCTCATACTTCTCATAATCAGACTAACATACGTTGATAATGGAGATCGATTTTCTTTGTCATATATAGGCTGAGGCTCAATTAAGCTGGAACTGGCCTAAGGGTTCTTGGTATGCCCCAGTATTTGCATGCCAGACACTGAACAGCATGGAAGTGTTTCTAGGAAGCCAGGTAGTAAACAAAACCCCAACAAACAAAAAAAAAAGGCACACAAAAGATGAAACTTTCTTTACATACAGATCTGTAAAAGTGACGTCCCATTAGCTGCTTGCCTCTGGCTGTTTTGATAGAACACATCAACCGGGACATGACCTGATACTAACAAGCTGAAAGGAGGATTCACCACCGGACATACTTCTAATTTGATTCTTGCCCAGTGTATTTAAAGTGGGACAAGGGCAGTAGTCCAGTTAAATCACCTAACCGAGCTGAGTGAAATGGCAGAATTGTTTGACTAGTTTTGCTGGGAGAAGCAGAGCTTATTTTCATAGTACAGGATTCCCTCCTTGTCCTCTAAAGCAGGGCCCTGTTACTGTCTGTGTTACAGGAGTCCAAGCAATAAAAAGAGTCCAACACCTGCTCCCATCTTGTAGCAGTGACTGCTCTAATAGAAAACGTGCTCTGTGTTAAGAACTTGTTCGTCTCATCAGTTGAACCTCTGTGAGCCGTCAGTAAAAGCCGTCACTGTTTTAGATCAACAGGGCTCTCATCGCTCCTTTACACAATCCGCAGGTGTGCTGGCGCTCTCATTCATCACTTAAACATTACCAATTCCCCTCTAGTTTCCTACAGTGGCAGTGCAGGGAAGGGTCATCCACTCAGACTGCTTCTCTTGCCTTTCATGAATGAAACACACTGCCTAGCAAACTGTTGCACCGAGAGAAGAGTGTAAATTTGGTTTGTTTGAAATTATTTCACCTTAGAGGTAAGCTTTCTGACAGGTCTCTGAAGAAAAGTAGGCTGGTGTGGTCTATGTTTTTATTTTCTAACCTCAGGAAACATGATTCAGAAAGACCAAAACTGCATCTGACCAGAGTCAGACTCACCAATAATCAAGGCCGCCCATGAGCAGTGACATTAGTAATAACCCTTTGATTGCAGATCCACTTTTATACACATGCAGTCAGAGAGGTGAGAGGCAGAAGAGACTTTTTAGAGTCAATAATTATTTATTAAAGTAAAGAGTAGAATGTGAAATGTGCGAAGTCAAAGTGATTGTACTCCATCATGGTGTCTTACAGAGAGCTTTATTTTATTTTTGTCGTAGAGTTGTCAATCAAACAATCAATCTTTTTATCGTGTCAATTTAAACAAAATAACAGTAAAAAGTTATCTCTTTACCAAAGTAAACCAGTCTAGACCGGACTGTTTGCATCACTAAGACCCATTATCCAGTTCGTATTAGAGTCTGTCCTGTCTCAGAGAAGAAGATTCATTCTTATATTACCTTAATCTACCATGGGCAGAGCTCTTTGCAGCATTTAGCAGGACATTTCTTTAAATAAGCACAAACCCTAGTGTGCCACTGGTCTAGCAGTATATTCCCATGCCCCCAAACAGAGGTTTTACCTCAAGCAGTCTGCTTGGGTTGGACCCCAGCCTGTGGCTTCTTTCCTGCATTTAAGTCTCCACTCTTTCTCCACAGCTCCTGCTCCACTGTCCGGTTCTTCCTGAAGACTCTGAACACCTAAGTTAGTGTTGAGTCTGTGGGATAAACCAGAGATATACTTGGTGTTAGTGAACAAAGTATGGCTGCCATGTGTTCCCAGCATTGGTTTGATGTGTTAGCAGTGTACATTCTTAGAATTAACAAGACACACGTGTGAGATACAGCACACATTTAAATGGTTGGGGTAGTGAACAGGTCATGCAGACTAAAGGTTACAGGGCCTGTAACTTGTTTCAGTTTAGAAAAATCACATTACCCACTTGTTCTGTTGAAATAAATTTATTTGCATTTATGGCAGTTGTTTTCTAGTTTGGGTGCATAAAATTTAGTGAACAAACCGTCACGTGGTTTAACTTTCTACATCGTGATTTAATTTGAGTTTATATTGTTTCAAAGTAATTCTTACCTTTTGTTTGTCTCTGCTCGAGCTCACCTGACAAAAGACTGTCTGCAGATCCAAGATGGCCTCTTAAGGCCCACCCACAGGAAGTGGGACAGACCATCAAGGGGGAAGCAAGGAGAAGCTTGGACTTTTGATTCATTATAAAACTTTTGTCTTTATTCTTTTGGTTAGAATAGAGTATTTAGTTTTTTTTTCTGTAAATAGTTGGTTTGGATGATGTGATGTTGTTTTTCTGAGTTTGTTACATATTTAGTTTGTAGTCACCGTAGTTCCCCCCTAGTGTTTATGTTGGACTAGTCCTTTGTCTATTTAAACCCCTGACCTGTATATTTTTGCAGGTTTGTTTGATTATGTTTGTTGGGTTGTAACTTAAGTTCTTTTTTTGCTGAGTTGACCTCTTATATTGTGGGCCCAGATTTTGTTGGTTTACTATCAAATTAAGTTGGATATTTTGTTATTGATTTCTGCTTTTTTGAGTGAAATTAAAGGATCAAGATCTTTTTCCAAACCTTTGTAATTTGCCTGGTTGCTTGGTTCTTACAGCCTGGCTGTTAAAATCAACAGGTTTCATATCAGCATTCATATCATATCAGCATCAATTTCAATGGTATTAAAATAGTGATAATTTTAATGGTTGTAACACAGCGACAGGCAGGTTCAGAGTAACAATCCAGAGGAACCTGCAAGACAAGGGACCACTGGGATCCCCCGAGAAAGATCTGTGGTTAGATATTTTAGTGGGATGTGAGGATTTGAATCCAGTGTCATGCAGACAAAGAGAGAAAGACAGAGAGAGGGGGGTTGATTCAGCTACTTGTCAATTAGAAAGTGGCGAGAGAAGTGACACAGTAGCAAGGCTATCAAGCGTTGCAATTATGGTTGACTTTATTACATAATTTAGTTCATTTTAAGGACGTCAGACCAAAATTCTGATAACTTGGAAACCCATTGGCAATCCTCTTCTGATGACAAGAGTCAACATATGCCATACACGTATGCAAACATTAGGTTTCAGTCTATTACCTGTTCATCTTTTTCAAGCATTGGTGAATCCTAATTCAGCAGAAGGCACACAGATGCTTCACTCAGGTGACTTCAACACTATTTTCTCGTGGTTTACTCATAATTGACAGGTCCAAAGTTTGCTGAAATGACGTTTTGATAAGATACTAATTTTGTCAGATCTGTCTCAAGAGGAAAAGAAAGCTACTTTGAAATGTTTGTTGAGTGGTGGTTTGAGCAGGAGTCTTAGTCTTGAATATTGATTTAATTTTCCATATAATTATACCTACTCGTCCATAGTTTCATGAACCATGAATTTCTTGAATGCAGCCCAGCAGCCTCAAGATAACTACACCATTCTTGTACCACTTTTGTTTTACCGTGACTTGAACAGACAGAAAAACACACCAGCAGAGACTAAACTTGGCCCACTAACAAATATTAGAAGTGGGCGGCATACAGAGGTCGAGAACCACAGCCTGGAAACACAAACAGTCATGTCCACAGAAACTGTGCTTTGGTTTAAGGCGCAGAAATATTTGGGATATATCCAGGTTGTATAATGAAAGAAATTTAATCAGATTTTCTCCAAGATCCACAAAAGGTGCAAAAATTCAAGAAATACATTTTTATAAGACTCCAATTTCCATTTCAAAATAGCCTGAAGAACAAAAGTAAACAGACTACCTGCTCTGGGACGACTAGAAAGCTGCCAAGTTTCTATGTGTGGCAGCATGGAGGAGTGTGATGTGGTTGACTTTAACTTTATGTACACTAACAGGTTTGTGTCCGGTAAGAAAGATTATTACCCAGCAAGCTGCACAGGTCTTAAGAGATGGTCAGAGAACTAATGTTGCAGTGCAAACCTTTATTATTTACGTTTCATGAAATGCATATTGATCACAGAATGCATTTCCATTTTTTGTTAGTGCCAATAGTTTGATTACATGCATGATTAAAGCCGGGGCTGCTGCCTCATTGCTGTTTATTGTAATGAAATGTGACATTCAGGCTGAAAGGGAGCTGCATGCAGACCTTGCTGCTGTTCAAAAGATGAATGTTTGAATTTTAACATCTTCCAGCTCCTCCCTCTGTGTCCCCTTGAGTCTGAATGAAAAACAGAAAAGGGCTGTTAATGAAAGAGGTCAAAAGGGCGTAGATTTGAAAGCTGTAGACATGCATGGCTCATATTTCCATATTAATCAGTCTCAAATGTGGTTCTGATGATTGCTTGTGCCAGAAGATCTGCGGATATGATTACAACTCCTGCACAAACAACTTTCTCTTATATCTAGCACCAGATGATATGCTCTGTTTTCTGAGGTATCATCAATGACCAGTTATCTAAACTTGAGTGTCTACTTGCTCCACTTTCATCCTGTCCTAAAATCCACAAGCAAACCTGGACATACTCCAATCTCAGGCAAATCTGGGATTGTGTTAATAGACATACAAACAAGCCAAGTCATCAAACAGTGTTGCAAACAGAGGCCACGTAAGAATACAAACAGCAACAACACAAAAACCCCTGACTATAAAGCAGAGAGGCAGCAGTCTCCAAACAAGAAACCTCTGACTTCTTACCAGGTTTTAGCTCAGTGAACAAACAGATTACCTGCAAAGCTTTCGACAACAGAGGAAAAAACTAGACAACAGTACCGTACACAGAGGCATGACACACAAATCTCAGCTTAACAGAGGTCCAAAGCAGTTTGGAGTGTATCAAATCAGGTTTTACTCTTCTAGGTGTTGTGTTTACACTCAGTTTTACCCTGCCTGTTTATTTCTCTCTGCTCTACAGTGAATATTCCCTCGTTGGTGTTTTATAATCTTCACAGCAAATTTCAGCTCGGTCTTTTCAACTCCATTCATGTCTACTTGATGTTTAATAGTAAAACTGTAAGAGTGTGTTGTTGTGTGTTGAGAACTCAAAGACAACACCATATTTATGTAACTAACAAGATCTTATACCTAGAGTATGTTGCTTATATTTTGCTTTATAGTAACATAAAGCAGCGTGTCACTGTTCATGCAACAAGGGTGACACTTTCCTACAACAGTCAAGAGTTGGAGCAGCTGCAAACCTAAAAGTATCTGGGAATCAGAGACAGCAGATACCAGAGGACTGTGAAAATGATACCTTGATACATACACATTTGGAATCTATGTCTTTAAAAAGATAATAAAATAACAGCACTAAATTTATGTCACTGCCCATCTTTAGGCTGTTTTTACTTAAGGTAATTTCCTTAGAAATGTTGTGACTAATGTCTAACTGAATAATGCATTATTTTAACTCCACCACAATTTTCAATAACTGGTAGTGCCACTTGTTGCTTTCCCAAATGTAATAACCTCATTACCATTCGAGATATTTAAAAGGACTCATGACTTGTGTTTCTTGGTCAAAAAGCAGACAGCAACATCAGATTAAGGCTAAACCAGTGTCAGCAAAGGGGTATCATGACCCCAATATAACCCTACACCATATCCATACAACCTGAAAGCAGTAAACTTGAAGGGAAAGTTCATTTCTTTGTCTTGTATCCACATAAAAAGCTGAAACAGACCAACAAAAGTAAAGCAGAGACAACACAAAGACAGAGATGGAACAAAGATTTAGCATCTGCTCCTGTAAGTGACCCGCTGGTTGGTTGGGCGACAAAGCAGGTGGATAATCAGAGAAAGGTCAAGAATAGAAAGTAATGTTGTTTTGTTTGGAGGAAAGCAAAGACTCTCCATCTAGCAGATTAATTGGTTGATGGCAAATTTTCCGGTACAGATTTAAGGAAGCTACAGAAGAAGATCAAAGAGACAGCGATAAATTTAAAAAAGAAAGTCTGTTTTTTCTTCTCTTTGAAGACCGAAACAGACCTCTGTGGACACTTTTGAACATTAGGTCCTGGATTTAAGCAGGAATTTGTCCCTTTTGGCAGCAAGATGGCAATGAAACACGCCGAGCCTTTGTGGTCCATTTTTGATTCAGGTTGGAGAAAATGTTTTTTTTTCTTTTATTATGCAAGTGTGCTGAGCAGCTCTCTGTGCAGAGCATAGTATTGTTTGGTTGTGCTATTAAAGGGGCCTTATGATTGGTAATGATCGCCTTGGTGATGTGTGTGTGAAATATTTACACAGTTGTGGCAGATTCCTTCTTAAACAGTTTTAAAAGGCACTTCAATGAGACGAGCCTCGCTGATGTCCTGACGCATGTCCACTTTCATTCATAAAATGACTCCAATACTTACAGATCTGCGGCTGTTCTGTTTATTCGACGGATACAGATTCCATTGAGCTCACCATTCAAAAACAAACCAAAGATTCACAGCGATTTGACTGCAGAAATACTCAGAAATTGAATTTCGCTCTTACTTTTCTCATGATATGTCCTGTGGCATCAGAAAAAGTGCGATATAGACATGTAGACAACAAGAAAAACACGATTTTTATTGGAGTGGGTCTTTAAAATCTTGTCACTTGATGCTTATGTGTGTTTTGTGTTTGTTTGTTTTGTGTATTTGGGTCTGTGTGTCTTTTTTTTCCTAAGAAGTTGCTGTAAGACAGATTTTCCCCTTTGGAGCCACAATTCTGATGTAAAAGTTGAAGAGTGCTGCGCCCTTCA